CTGGAGTGAGGAGTGTGGTCAAATGTCAGACTTCTTCTTTTTTTTTTGCAGAAAAATTTTGAAAGATCTTTCTTCTGAAGACACACGGGATAGAAAAGGAGATGAGGAAAGTCCTGGGGTCTCCACTGTCACCTCCATGTCTGTTCCCACGCCCATCTACCAGACAAGCACTGGACAGTACAGTATGTCACCCAAAACATCCTCACAGTTTTTCCTCAGCTTGCCTCAAAATGCAGAATTCATTAAATATTTGAGTAAGATGAAGGACAAAAGTTGGTTATTATCTAGCAGTCAGTAAAGTTAGAACATAAAACTGGTATCTATGGACTTCAGATAAACCCAGTGCTTTGTCATTTTAATTTTTGCACATTCAGACATTTGAAGGTGTTGGTGTGGAGCACACTGAGGTGTTGTTTGCTGGATTTAACCCAACAGGGCAGTGAAGACACATATATAAATATATAAAAATATATATATGTATCACAGGCCACACTAAAAGGCTCCTGTGGTATCAGAGAGATACAGAAAATTAGGATTTGTTCCTTTGATGGATGGATGGAAGCACCACTTGGTGTTTGTGGTGCTTCATACCTGCTCCTCTCCATCCTGTGAGGGTGAGGCCCTGGCACAGGTGCCCAGAGCAGCTGGGGCTGCCCCTGCATCCCTGGCAGTGCCCAGGGCCAGGCTGGACGGGGTTTGGAGCAGCCTGGGACAGTGGGAAGTGTCCCTGCCGTGGCACTGGGTGGGCTTTAAGGTCCCTCCCAACCCCAGCTGTTGTAGGACACTGTGATTGACCTGTTTTTGATACCGTCCAGCTACAAATCCTCTCATCCCTGTGCCTCCCCTCGCAGTTGCCATCGCAGCCAACGGGCTCCAGCTGGCAGGGCCGGGGGCAGACGGGGTGCAGGGGCTGCAGACACTGACCATGGCCAACGCCGGCGGCTCCCAGCCCGGGACCACCATCCTGCAGTACGCCCAGACCTCGGACGGGCAGCAGATCCTGGTGCCCAGCAACCAGGTGGTGGTGCAGAGTGAGTACCCAGCAGGGCCACGGTTACACCCCCGTCACCCTGAGTGCCACCTGCTGATGCCACCCCGTTTGTGTGCCCTAGCTGCCTCTGGGGACATGCAGACGTACCAGATCCGCACCACGCCCACCACCTCCTCCCTGCCCCAGACCGTGGTGATGACGTCCCCCGTCACCCTGACGTCACAGACGAGCAAGACGGATGATCCGCAGCTGAAACGAGAGATCAGGCTGATGAAGAACAGGTACGTCAGGGCACCTGAGCTGCTCAGGGGGCTAGTTTAAGGTGCTCAGATGGTGCAATCACTGAGGTTGGAAAAGACTTCCAGGCTTGTGAAGTCCAGCCTGTGACAGATCGCCACCAGAGCACTGAGTGACGCCTCCAGGGATGGGGACTCCACCACTGCCCTGGGCAGCCCCTTCCAAAGCCTGACCACCCTTTCCATGAAGAAATTCCTCCTGATGTCCAACCTGAACCTCTCCTGGCACAGCTTGAGGCCTTTTCCTCTTGTCCTGTTCCCTGGGAACAGATCCTTGGCTGCCCCTCGTGTCAGGGAGTTGTGGAGAGGGAGAAGGTCCCCCCTGAGCCTCCTTTTCTCCAGGCTGAGCCCCCCCAGCTCCCTCAGGAGTTCTCCAGCCCCTTCCCCAGCTCTGTTCCCAGCTCTGGATATGCTCCAGCCCATCCATACTGCTCTTGCAGTGAGGGTCCTCAACAATGTCCAGCACAGGGGGGCAATCCCTGTCCTCGTCCTGTCCCAGGTGCCCTTGGCCTCTTTCCCCACCTGAGCACACCTGAGCTTGTGGGAGATTGTGTTCCAAACACGGGAAATTGTGACCCAGACATGCTCCCTTGTGTCTCACAGTGTGGAGAAACCCAAAGTGGGGTTCCCCTGCAGACCGTGTCACCACATCCTGCTGAATTTCCTGCTCTCCTGGGGCACTTTTTGGCTTGGTTTTGTTCCCCACTGCAGTTCCAGCTCTTGTATTGGT